TCCAAGAAAACTGAGTCTGCACAGCAGGCCCTGAGCCCCCGCTGCAGGGAGCGATGCCAGTGAGCATGGATGGCGCCACAGTGATCTATCCAATCAGACTGGTGGGGCAGCTCGCTGAGGCCATCCTGCTGGGCTGAACGCGGGGTAGACAGACAGAGGGCTACAGGGACTAGACAGCGTGAGAGCCAACCAGACACGAAGCAGCACAGAGCCGGCGAGGCAGGACTGGAGGCCAGTAGGCAGCCAGGCCAGAAGCTCACACGCTAGTCCAAGCCTCGTGGCAACCCCAGGGGAACAGCCTGGGCCAGCAGCAGTGGGCCAACTCCTGAGCTCACTGCCGTGGCCCCGCCCCAGACCTGAGTCACTGGGGATTCCACGGACTTCTAAGAGGGCCCTACATGCATTTCCAAACCCAAACTGCTTGATGCTGTCATGGAAAACCTGGATCTTTGCATTCTACGCGTTCACTGTGGACCACGTCCAGGTCACAGCCTAAGGAAGGCAGCTGGTGAAAACGACCCTGCTGGCTGATTTCCCAGCTTTTGTAATGAATCCCAGAGGGCTATGAACTGATGTGTGTTTCTGGCTCTACCAAGTCCCAGACGAGTCCTCACCCAGTGAAGACCGATCAGCCTGTGATTTATTCTGCAAGGGGAGCCTGAGAAGCCACCTGCAATCAGGACTCAACTGCTAGAAGCTGCCTCCAGAAAGGAAAGGATGGAGAATGTACAGGTCAGGGGAAGAGGAGTGAGGGGAAGAAGCTCTTTGTTTTCCTGTCAACTGAGCTTTTAAAAAAAATGCCTGAGGACACCCAGAGGCCCATAGGAGCCACAGGACTGCTCTGTGCTCTTCAGTCCCAACAAAGGCAGGCTATTAAGGGGCCAGGAATGGCACTTTACAATGTAGTTAACATTTGGTTTCGACAGAACAAGGTCAGTTCTAAAGACCCTACTCCTTAGAATGCAGCAATTGTAGGGAACACAAAAGAATGTACTAAAACCTGCCAAGAAAGCACAAATACTTTAATAATCATCATATAGCTACTACCACTTACTATTTACTATGTGTGCTTAAAAGCCTTTCTCATATATTATCTAATTTAATCCTCAAAACAACCCTGAGGTATGTACTACTATTATACCCATTTTCCAAGTAAGAAAACTGAGGCTTAGAGATGAGGCAGACTGGTGAACATTTCACAGACACTTTAAGGTGAGGTCGGGGCTGATCCAGGGCCAGATGAGGTTTGAGCTCTAACTGCTGCTGAGAGCGCCGACTGAACAGCCAGGGCATTTGTACGTGAGCATTTCCGAAGTGTCAGCTGGGTGCCCACCAGTAGGTAAGGCCTTGAAGGCGAATCCTGCTATCTGAATTAGCTTAATGGTCAATAGTTGTATTTTCATTTTTTTTTTTAAGTAACCCAAATTTTGAGATTTCCACTGAGGTCGCAGATTCTTTTACACCCGACTTCTAAAATCAAAAGACTAAGATTTTGATGGTTTTTGTTATACTATGGACAGTGACAGCTATGTGAGCCTGTGGCCTTTAAGATTAGGCATAGTAAAGGCATACTAGATAGCCTGTAATTTGTCACCCAGTTACATTTTACAAAAATGTCATTTTTGCCAATGCCAGTTGTAAGAAGAAACACAGTCTGAGTATCTTTCTGAAGGATCCTCTCGTTGCTCTGGCAACAGTCTCCTTTCTCACCATTTGTTTCAATGTCAAACGGATCCAGAGTTGAGAGAAGGGTTGTGGGGAGAGCAGAGACTGATGCTCACAGCTGCAGCAAGTCCTTGGCTGAGGCTGGGGCTGACCAGATGCTCTTAGAGACCGGCCAAGAGGACAGAAAGCAAGCCAGCTGCTTCAGACACCCAGGGGGCAACTCTCTTAAGCCACAGATTCAAGGGCCATGGCTGCCACTGATGCTGGCTTGAACTGCCTGGTGGAGACCTCTACAATTGGAGAAAGAGCCCTCAAAGATGTGCCCCTCATCCCCTCCCCAACATGAGGGAGCCAGCTGACCAGCGTTCAGTCCATCCTTCCAATGATTTCTTCTCAGAGGGGTGCTGCTGGGCTGGGAGGTGAAGAGAATCCACTTTCCTGTATTTCAGTTCTTAGCCTTAGATCAGTGGCCCCTAGAGAGGCAGAATCTGACTGTACAGGAATCTCTGCCTCTGGCCAACTTTTAGCAATTTCAGACGTTTTGAGATGCCATATGTATGCATGGGGAACATAAGTGAAAGGGGATGTGGAGAAAAATTTCTTGTAGAAAAATCAAGACTTTGGGGAGACAGATGACCAACAGCCCAGCATCTTGGGTGTGCTACTGCTCCCTTCTCCCCAGCCCTTCTTCCTAGAGGCCTGAGGCAGAGAGAAAGAGAAAAGTCAAGAATAACTCACTGGAGTGTATGAATAATACCTAAAATATGTACTCATCTTTGTGCCAAAATGAACACTCTAGCCAGTTATGTGAAATAGCAAACAAGAGCACCAGAAGACTTGTTGGACTAATCCACATTCTTAGAGACTAAATTCACTGGAGTAACACCTTATTAAAAACTGCATGTAAACAGTCTTTGAGACTAAAAGACATCTATAATTTTCTGCAAATTGATTGCAAAAGACCGATTGTGGTGGTATGGCCCAAGATGTCCCACCCTACTGTAAATGGCCATTCCTTTGCTGGAAAGCACTAAGTTTCTCAAGATGAAAAGCATTCCTAGGGATGACAAACCAGGAGTCTCATCTGCATACCAGCATATTGACAAAACTCATAATAAAAGCATGAAGTCATCGGAGATAAGCAAATAAAACATAGTTAGGGCAAACTGAGCAGAAATACGCCTCGCTGGTGAACCAGGACTCTCAACAGGATTAATTATTTGTGTAAACTGGCTTCCCTTCATCTACATGTTTATTTGGACTTTTCAAAAGCTTTAGTAACACTTTGGTAACACTCCTCAGCAAGCTGTAAGATGCACATGCACTCGAGGCACTGTGTGCCTGGGGGGATAAAGCAGAGGCATTTCTGACAAGAAAAAGATGAACCAGGATGGAAACCCACCTTAATGAACATTTCTCGGAAGTGAAAATCCAAGCTTAGGGGATGAACTGCAGATTTGAGAAGTGAATCAAAAGGGGGACAATGAACTTCACAGAATCAAAAATCTAAGACAGGATCATATTTTCCAATCCCCCTAACTTTCAGAAGAGGAATGCCAAGATCCACAGAATTGGTGCATTTATCTCAAGTGAAACTGCAAGTTAGTAGCAAAGCTGAAAATCAGAATCCTGGCCTCCCAAATTCCGTGAGTGCCTATGAGTGCCTGGGTGTCTCATGGTACGGCTGATCCTGGCAGATAAAGAGATGAGGGGTCCTGAGATCTGTCACGAGTATATCCCCCATTGAAACAGAGCATGACTGTGAAGCAGGTCCTCTGTCATTTCCCTGGGCCCATTACCCTCTCCCCCACATACACACATGGGGCCCCCTAAGGTTTGAGAAACAGAAAACATCATCTTATCAGCTGTTTGGGAAAAAAACTGCTGTTTGACCTGTTTGTTTGGAAGCCAGCCCTGCTGAGCTCAAGAGTTTGCTATAAGGCAGGCAAGAGCTAATTCATTCGAGGTCTGCTTCTTTACAGGCCTGGATGCCAGTCTCAGTGCTTATCTCCATTGTCGGCAGCCCCATGAACCCAGCTACAGGATGTTCCCTTCAATGAGGGTTGTAAGTGGATTGCTGTTTCTCCTGTTAGAGTTTAGATTAATAAATACCTTGGTTGTGGTTGTTTAAAAAGTGAATATTTGGGCTTCCCTGGTGGCGCGGTGGTTGGGAGTCCGCCTGTTGATGCAGGGGACGCGGGTTCGTGCCCCGGTCTGGGAAGATCCCACGTGCCGCGGAGCGGCTGGGCCCGTGAGTCATGGCCGCTGAGCCTACGCGTCCGGAGCTTGTGCTCCGCAACAGGAGAGGCCACAGCGGTGAGAGGCCCGCGTACCGCAAAAAAAAAAGAAGTGAATTTTTTTCCTGAGAAGTCTATTCCTCTGCTTCCTGAGGATGTCTTCAAACTCTGGTGTGTGCGTGTGTGTGTGTGTGTGTGTGTGTCAAACTCTGGTGTGTGTGTGTGTGTGTCAAACTCTGGTGTGTGTGTGTGTGTGTGTTTCTGCTGCTCAGAACAAGTCCCTTGAGCGTGGACAGACTGATACCCTCTTGGTTCCAGATCCGCTTTTCAACTCCACATGGGATAGCCTATGAAAATGCAGGCGGCCATGGAAGTTTTCTTGGAGCTCACGGCCTCCCCTCTGGGATCCCTGTAAAGTGCTCATACTTTTCTTTCCACTGATTTCTAACAAGCTCATTAGTGAGAAACTCCCAGAAAGTGGAAGAGTTAGTTTGTAATTTCTGATCTGAGCGCACAGAACATTCTGACAATTGTCTCCAGGAGACCGACAATTTAAACCAGAACATTATTAAACACAGAGCAGCTGATACTAATTCCCTTCCAGCCAGCTTCTTCACCTAACAAAGCTGAAATCATCCTGGGGCCGGGGATGGGGCCAAGAGTGGGTGGCAGCACCAGGCTCACTGCCTGTGAATGAATGCCCCACGCTCACGCTCATCCTAGCACACAGGGCCCGCTGCAGGGGGGCCTCACACACCGCAGTTCTTCCCTGGACGCACGACGTGGAAAGCACGCTGGTAATTTAATGGGAAAAGCAAAAAGTAGGAGTAGTTACTCAAACAAAACCCAGCAACTTAGAACCCGAGGAAATAAGCAAGGAAGAGGAGCAGGTGAGAGCAGAGAACAGACACTTCCTTCACTTCAGGGGAGTGACACAGGGAAAGGGAGCGATGAGGGCAGCGCGCGCCTGCTGCCTGGAACCGGACAGAAGACCGTCCTCCTCAAGTGTGGCAGCAAATGAATGAGCAGTGAGGGTGCTGCACACACGCACGAGCACACACATGGCTCTCAGGCCCCCTCGCCTCCACGCACGCCTACCTGCAATTCCTTGCAGCAGCCCGCAGACGTTGAAAATACTTTTCTTCATGATGCTCTGCACACACATGGTGAAGACGGATACCAGGGCCACCATGCAGAGAATGAAGATGCCCACGGCTAAGAAAATAGCGGTGGCCTGCCAGAAGCCGCTGGCGATCTCTCCGAAGGTCTCGGCGTAGGGCCCGCACAGCGTCTCCCGCTGGAAGTGCTGCACGCCGGGGTTCCGGATGCAGCGGGCGTAGATGCCCAGCGTGGGGTGGTGGGGCTCCAGGGAGCCTCCGCCCTGCTCGCCGGGCTCGGCGCTGCCGCGGGGCTTGGCTTTTCCAATCAGCCAGTCTGCGCTCATGAAGGCAATGAGCTCGGCAAACGCCACCACAATACTCAGGAGGGTCCAGAGCATCGAGCGACAGGTGACAATGACATGACACATATTGATGTTCGAGACGTCAGGAGTCGGGAGGCCACGGGGTGAACTGGACAGGCGAGCCCGGCGGGCGGTGGGGAAGGCGCGGGAAGGAGGCTCAGGCGCTCCGGGCCGGCAGTGGCCGCTGCTCGGGGGCTCCCTCGTCCCGGCGGCGTCGTGGGGCAGCGCTTTCCGGGGCTGTCATGCTGCCATGTCTCAGCTCCGCGCGGCCGCAAGCCTCACCTACTGGGGGAGAGGAGGGAGGAGAGCGGTTAGCGGCGCCGGCCCCGCCCCCGACGCCTGCCCGCCCGGCCGCCCGCACTTCGGCCGGTGCTCAGACCCCGGTGCGCGCCCGCGGCACAGCTGCCCCACGCCCTGCGCAGCCCTGCCCGGCGGCGCCCCTCGTGCCCACAGAACCTTGCCCCGGCGAATCCTGCGCCCCCGCCAACACGCCGCCGTCCTCGGCGATGTCGGCCGGTGTTTTTGTTTCAAGGTCTCCCTCACTGCGCTCTCAGAGGCGTCTGTGGTTACCCTTATCTCTCGGCAGCACGACAGAGGGGCCCATGCCAGCCCCTGCACCCACCCGGGGGCACGCTGCGCATGGGGTTCCTGCCCCAGCTGCATGCTCTTGGGACGTGGCTCCTGCTCTATTATATCTTATTAGAAAAAGTCCAAAAGCACAGGGATCCAGACAGATCAAGATGTGTCTGCCAGTGAACTATATCAACGGACTGCCTGCGTTTTTTTTTAAAGTTTACAGGACTCTTTGCCTGCTGTTTTGGTGTTAGATGAGCTAAGTTAGAAAAACTTGCCTCAAAACCTTTTGCTTAACAGTAGAGAGTAGTAACACCCAACTTTATTTCCTGGGAATCAAATTACTAGCAGAGACAAAGGAGGGAGTATTTGCTTCAGAGGTAAATGAGAATTTAAAAAGGAAAACAACGCCATGACAAATAATAAAACTTTGCCACCCAAACTTATTTTTCATCCATTTCTCACAGGGTGATTTTTAGACAAAATGAACTACACAAGTTAAAATGCAAAGAAGAAAAATAAAGCTCCAAGAACTGATGACTTACTCACTTGGGGAAATTATTCAAAACAGAGGCATTAATGACCATTGACTAAGTATCATTACCACTGAGGGGACTTGTTGACAACAGAGACTTGCCTGTGAAGAATGCGTCCCTTGAACTGTCCCAATTCATCACATGTGCCTCTCTGTCTGAGCTTCGATTCACCCCAGGTCTGAAACTCAACATGCGCATTGTTTCTCATCTCACAAGGACTCATGCTGTTCCCAAGGACAAACGGCTTCATTACCAGAGGGCTCTCTCTAACAGCTTAAACCCCCTTCAGGGAGGCCTGAACCCTGAAATGGGCCGCAGGGCTCCTCACAGCCCCATTTACTGCCCGCCTCCCCCCGCCCCCAGCCCACCAAGGTCAGGAAGAATCGCACAGCTCACATCTGACATCTGGGCACATGGCTCTGTTCTGAGTGATCTTATTAACTGAGGTCATGTCAACTCCCCAAGAACTACAAAGAGCCTCATGGCATGTGGGCAATGGTTGGGCGGGGAGTTACAGAAGAGGGAGGGAAGTGGGGAAAGAAGGGAGGGAGTGGGTGTCAAAGCTTCTCCACCATGTTGGCTAACATCCTAGTTAGAGGTGATTACTTACTTTATAAAACACAGTGTATTTAACAATCCTCACATCACTGCACTTATACAAGATGCTATTTTGCAAAATTAGCTAGCGCAAAGCTAGGAACAGAGGAACTTAACTGTCATGGTTGTGTGTGTGTGTGGCACTGGGGAAGGGAGAGGTGGGTGTGCATGCTGCATGCAAGGGTTTTGGTGTTCATCCAGTCTGGGCTCCAAATCTAGCTCCACCACAGACTGGCCATATTGACTGACATCTAACTTGTCAGAACCTTAGCTTTCAGCTTCCTCATGGACACATGAAGAAAGAAAGGGTACCCTGCCTCACAATACTGTTGTGAGAAATAAGCAACATGCTGTGAAACCACCTCGCACAGTGCCTGGCATAGTAGGTGCTTAGTAAATATCAACTCCATTGCCTCAGAAGCTTTTCCCCTAACATGGGTGACACTGGTCAGACAACTGTTTAACCAACGGAAGTGCACCGTGGATAACAGAAACTTGGCCGTTAAAAGATTAGGCAGAGGCTATTTAGAGATGGATGAGGTCACTCATGTCTAAAGCTTCCCTGGTGGGCTTTGAGGGTGAGGTCCTGGTCTTACTTCCTGTTTCCCTACTGCCTAACACAGCTGACAAGCTCAGCTGGGGAAAATAAATTAGCATTAGGCCAGAAGTATAACCTACTCCCACTCACTCATTCTCACCTCCCCCACCCCCCAATATTTCCAAAGAGAAATGCCTTTTGAGTAAAACGTTACCAATACAAAACAGCTTTGGAGGAGACTGTGTATAATGAAAGTGATCATTCTAAATGAGAACAAGGAAACAAGCTAGGATGACTCCCGGGAGGATGCCCCACCCCATGCAAGCTGGGCGCACCCACCAGGCTTACAAACACTTTCAATCTACAGGTGGAGAGTCTGTTTGTTAGGAGAGAATGAGGCTCTACAAGATCTTCCCATTTGATTAGAAAGCCAGTTTACTGATGGGCCCAGTTGCTCTTAATCCCTGCTGCCCCTCTACTGTTTAATGGCAATTTTTCCATATGAATAGAAAACCTCTACAGAGCTGTCCTCTTGCAGAACCTCAGACTCTGCTACAACCTCTCAGGTGACTTGGATCTTAATGAATATGCGAAGTGTATACCGTTCTGGTCAGCAAGCTCACCTCAGAGTCAGGGATGCAATTAGGTTGCAACTTCTAAAGAGAAAGGATGTGAAACTTCAGGAGAAGGGAAGATGGCACATTCAGGCTTATTAGCAAAATGGTTCATGCCAAATTTGAGGCAGGATTATTTAGGGACCCCTGTGCTTAAATGCAGAAAGTAGAGTCCCCTGTCCATCTGTACTAAAACAATTCCCCCCCTCCACTATACCAGATTCTCACATCCACACCAGAGTGGCTGGAAGGACGCCTTCATTTTTCTGTTTGCAACAGGGAGATAAGATGTTTTGGACTTGCCAGCAAATCGGCTAATTACTACTATTAGAGGAACAGCCACAACATGCAAGGCTGACTGACAAAAACTGGCTTTCCTCAGGATCCAAGAAAAGCCCTCGGGTCGGTGGGACAGGGGAGAATCCGGAAGTGCAGCAAGGGGCTTCTACAGTGCTCTGTACTCTGGTAAAATGCCCCAGTTTGGTCTATCAGATGTGCAGGGAAAGTCACGTACTGAGATAACATCCACATCATGGGAAGACAGATCCCTGTCACAGATTTTGTTAACCCAGGGATTCAGCACAGAGCTCCTTAGCACCACCCTGCTGTTCGCTGTGATTCCCACTCCTCCAAAGATCCTGTAGGAAGACCAGACCCTTGTTGACATTCCATGTAAACATCTTCTGTCCGTGGACCACTGAACACATATCCCCTCCAGGACACCTGGCTTTACTACCACATCCCTGATGGATAATGTGGACAGCCCTCTGACTTTCAGAAAAAGATGCTATGATTGTCACGAAGGTCCACAGAGGAAAGCCTCTTAGCAAGAAATAAGGAAAAAAACCAAAACAAACGAGACTCCTGCAGAAACCTAGGGTAATATACCACAGTCAGAATACAAAGCCAGGAGGAGTGACAAATGGTTGGTCCATGGGAGTCATCATACATAGCTCTCCAAAGAGCCCTAATATTTAAAAGAAGGGGGAGATGTGAGCAGAGCTGACACCTCTGAAAGGGGTCTGAAAGGGGTCCTTTCCTTGGCAGCTTCGTGCCGTCAGTGCAAAGGGAAGAGAGTGCATGTGAGGCAGAACCGCCCAGCATCAGTTGACTAGGAGATTACAGTACAGAAGCCTGGGAACAAAGGTCACAGCTTCTCCAAAGGTGGGGCAGACCGAGCGCACTTCAATCACAGCTGCGTCAAACGCCCACACTCTCCACCATCACAGCAACAGCAACAGCAAAGCCCGAGAAGGAGACCCTGCAAACCACGTTTTGAAGACCACCACCACCTTACTCACCTTGGTTCTGTTTTTCAACTTCCTTAAGAAAATCTGCAAGCCTAGATATCAGGTGAAGAGAACGGACAATGAAAACCACATACGGAACACTGGTTAGCACGCTGCCGTATCTGTCCTCCAGATCCGCAGCACACACTCACAGTCACACTCGTATACTGACATCTTTTCTCTGAACCATCTGAAAATGAGTCACAGATGTCTTGACAGTTCACCCCTAAATACTTTTGCATACACCTCCTAAAAATGAGGACATTCTCCTTCGTGACCACAGTAAAATTAACACACCCAAGAAAACTGACAATAATTCCCTTATATCCCAAAGCTGGGTCCACACTCAAATTTCCCTACCCTGCCTCCATTTTTATAGCTGTTTTTTTAAAACCATGACTCAGCCAAGGCTCATGCATTGCATTTCGTTATGTCTTTAGTCTCTTTTAGTCAAAAATAGTCCTTCCGTCCCTAACCTACCCCTGTACTGCCTGCATTTTTTCCTCTGACATTGCCTTTTTTGAAGATACCAGGCTAGTTGTCTTACAGGATACCCCACAATTTGTCGAGTTCCTCATGTTGCCATTGAAACTTGTTCTCTATCCTCTGCTGTAGAGAAACTGGAGGTTAAATTTAAAGGCTAGTTTAGATTCAGCTTAAACATTTTTGGTGAGAATCCTTTGTAAGTGGTGCTGTGTAATTCCTACTGCATCACACTTGGGAGGAATATTATTGAGGCTACACCTCAGAATCAGTAACTTTACACATACATACATATGCATAAGTGTATGTGTGTGTATATAGAAAGACAGAGACAAAAACAGACAGAACAGTCTGTCTGGTCCTCTCTGGCCCTAAAAAAAAATCCAAATGTTGGTGAGGCAGTGAACAGAAGTCTGCTCTGGGCAGGGCCCGGGGGGGGGGGTGGGGGGCGGGGGGCACTTGGTGGTGGTCGTTCTGATGTCACAGTGAAGACACCCTGTCTTGAGAGAGGCCATCCTGGAAGCTAAAGAAATCCTTCACCAAAGGGATTTTACTTTACATAGTCTTTGTGGTTCAGTAAGTACTAAAAAAATAGGAACTCTTGTGATTAATAATAAATTTACTACACTGACCCATGTGGCCCAAACAAGCGATA